CCCAAAGGCGCGGGATGACAGGCTGAGCCACCGAGCCCGGCTGGGGACAAGAAATTTAATATTTGTTTGTTACTCTAATTCAAGCTCCAGCATTATTGCAACAGCACGCAAAAACATGCAACAGGCCAGGCATGGTGGCTCCCACCTATAATCCCAGCACTTTGGGAGGCCGCAGTAAGAGGACTGCCTGAGCCCACAGGTTCTAGACTAGCCTGAGCAACTTGGCGAGACCTCATCTCTACAATAAATTAAAATTAACTGGGTGTGGCAGCGCTCACCCGTACTTCCAGCTACTTGAAAAACTGAAGCAGAAAGATCGCCAGAGCCCAGCAGATTGAGGCTGCGGTGGCCATGAGCGCGCCACCGCCCTCCTGCCTGGCCCATCGTGAGACTCCCACGGAAAGAATGCAGCAACCATAATGAAAAACACCCAGCAAGATACCACCACACTTCGACACAAACACAGCTGTGAGATACTGTATACGCCAAGGTTATGAAACCGTACCGAGTTGTTTGTATGGTACTACCAGGTAAGTCCATGGTGGCAAATTTGTGAACTTGATGGTCAGACCTTGTATACGAAAGGAGTCAAGAAGGACAAAGAAAATGGGAAGATCAACAGGGGTTTCAGAATGAATAGAATCGGGAAAGGTCAGTATGGAAAACTCCTAGCCATTGATAAAAGTCATGAACACTCGGGATAACGCTGAACACAAATCTATGCCGAGACACAAGTTCTACCCATTTTTCACCAGCATGCTAAAATTAGCTGGGTGTGGGCATTTAACAGCCTGTAATCCCCGCGCTTTGGGAGGCCGAGGCGAGTGGATTGCCTGAGGCCGCGGGTTCGAGACCAGCCTGGGCAACTTGGCGAGACCTCATCTCTACAATAAAATAAGAAATTAGCCAGGCATGATAGCCACGCCTGTAGTTCCAGCTCCTTGGAAGGCTGAGGCGGAAGGATCACGTGCCACGGCACCGCAGCCTAGGCGACAGAGTGAGACTCCAACTCGGGGGCAGGGGACAAGAAGAAAGATACCGCGGTGCAGCTCAGCGAGTTCTTAGGGAGCCCTTTTACTCTGTTTAGTGCAGAAGTGGGAGTGGAGGCGAGGTCGGCTCAAGCCAAGTAAGAAAAATCCTTGCGTGATAGGTGAAGGGGTTTGTACTGATGTTAGAGGTGAGTTATTTGGACAGGAAAGTGTCATGACCAGATGAGCCGGTGGCTGTGTTGAGGATGGATGGCGGGGAGAAGATAAAAGGTTGGGCCATGCTGTGGCTACAACCCTAAACCTAAGTGGCTTATCACAAGCTTTGCTCACATTCTGCGTCCCTGTCTGCTGGTTCCATCACCCCACATCCCAAAAGTCACCAGGTCCTGGGGCAACGGGGAAAGTGTAATGAAATCCTCTGGCCCAGAAGAGACAGGTGTGGCTTTTCACAACTCGTTGGCCAAGACCAGTCACCTGGTCCCACCCAGGCACAAGGAAGCTGGGAAGTCAAGTCCTCTCGTGTGCCCAGAAGGCTGAAAAGATTTGAACAACACAAATGTCCATCACAGGAATAAAGTGTAAATTAAGATAGCTGTGGTGCCAACACAGTATGAGGACTTGGCCTGGAGTCGTGAGATTAAGCATGGACAGAGGCTTCCGTTGTAAAACGGCATTCCGGAAGTAGCTTCAAGAGGGTTTTCCAGTGAGGGACGCAGAGACAGAAGTCTGATCTAAAAGTTCAAGCTTAGGGCCATGCACGGTGGCTCAAGCCTGTAATCTCAGCACTTTGGGAGGCCAAGGCAACAGGACTGCCTGAGCTCAGGGTTTCAAGACCAGCCTGGGCCACTTAGCAAGACCTCTCTCTACAATAAATCAAAAATTTAGCCGAGCATGGTAGCACATGCCTGTAGTTCCAGCTCCTTGGAAGGCTGAGGTGGAAGGATCGCCTGAGCCCAGCAGGTCAAGGCTGTGGTGGCTGTGAGCATGCCACTGCACTCCAGGCTGGGTGACAGAGGGAGACTCCAACTCAAAAAAAAAAAGTTTAAGCTTAGGTGATTTCTTAAAATTTTCTCAAGGATTGACAGTAGTAGAGATCTGCCTGGGGAAGAGGGGCGGGGGCACACCTCATCAACAAGGGTACCTGCACAGTGAATATTTGTATACCTAACCCTGAATTGTACCCCACAATTCTAAAGTTAAAAAAATTTAAAAATTAAAAAAAAAATTCTCAAGGTTTAGATTACTTAAAAAATATGAAAATAAACATTCAGAAGAGCCGGTTACGGGAAAGATGGTCTTGAGTTTTTGCTATACATACAAGGCATGTTTTTGTTTTTATGTGGTTGGATTTTTTTTTTAATTGATTATCGAGGAACAGAGCCTGGTGTGGTGTGTTTATCTGTAATCCCACCTGCTTGGGAAACTGAGGCAGGAGGGATGCTTGTGGCCGGAATTTCAAGACCAGACTAGGTAACACAGCAAGACCTCGTCTCTAAAAGAATAGTTATAATAATAATAATAATTATAATAGAGTGACATGCATCAAGAAGAATGCCAGCAAAACAATACTTATAAAATGAGAAAAAGAAAAACAGGCTCAGGCTACATGGCATCAACCACTTCTTTCTCCTAATTGCTTTTTTTTTTTTTTGCAAATTCCTAGTCCCACCACAGTTAAGTAGTCCAAAGAACAACTGTTCCATCTGGAAGCTTTGGTGCGTGTGCTCACTGGTGTCAGTGGGCTAGTGAGTTTCCATCGCCGGATCTTCAATCTTTGACCAACTGTGGCATTTCCTCTTGAAAATTTTAGTCAGCCAGGATTAACATGAAATATTTTTTATATTACTATATCCATCATGCTGGGAGCACTGTTCCTTTAAAGTGCCCGCTTAGAAGGGGGGAAAGGGGATATACTTACAGAACGTTGTCAAATGTGACTTAGAGGAAGCCGTCACCTGTCTCAAAGGATAGTCTGAGAGTAAAGAGGGCGGTACCGGATGTGGAATGCCAGGCCAGTTTATACACACACTTTGCAAATCTCAGGTGCTGTAAACATTCCAGATTGTAGCTGTTAATCTTAGTATACATCTTCTAAAGAAGGAAGCTAGCGCCCTAGTTACCTTAACTTGGCTTCTACTCAGGCATCGTTCAGTTTTTGCTTAAAATTCTTGCATCTTTTGTTTTCTTTGACGATTTTTGGTTCTGTTATTTCAGTTATGGCCCTCACACCCTTACCAACTTATGTGTAAGTCTTTGGGATGAGACAACGTGAACTTATTTATCTGCAGAGATCATGGTAACAAGACAATCTGTAGTCGATGCAAAAACATAAATAAAGAGGAGTCAAAGCATACAACCACAGAAAACCATCTAACTACAAAGGAAGACAGCAAGAGAGGAACAAGCAAAATATATCCCAAACCAGAGAAGAAGTTACCAAACGGTGGTAGTACGTTCTTACCTGTCAGTAGTTACTCTGAATGTAAATGGATTGAATTTTCCAATAAAGGCTGGGCTCGGTGGCTCAACCTGTCATCCCAGCATTTTGGGAGGCCAAGGCAAGTGGATTGCCTGAGCCCTCGTGTTCGAGACCAGCCTGGGCAACTTGCCAAGACCTCGTCTCTACAATAAATAAAAAAAAAATTAGCCGAGCACGGTAGTGCACACCTGTAGTCCTGGCTACTTGGAAGGCTGAGGCAGAAGGTTCGCCAGAGCCCAGCAGGTTGACGCTGAGGTGGCCGTGAGCATGCCACTGCACTCCAGTCTGAGACGCCAACTCAAAACAAAAAAATTGTCCAACACAAAGACATAGAATGGCTGAATGGATTAAAAACAAAATCAAGCCA